GCAGTAGCTTCTAGAAATTATCACAAAAAGTTCTTCTGGGAAAGAGCACCTGTGTCCCAGCCAGCATCCACTGCCATTTCCTGGCTGGAGATACCCCACTGAGGCTCCAGATACCCTCAGCCCCATCCACACTTCCAGGGGGAGGAGTGTCCTTTGGAACCTTAGCCCCACCTGTATCTGAAGGAGCTACCACCCGAGCCTTGGGCCCACTTCCACCAGGAGGAGCATTCACTGGAGGCTCTGCTCTGCTTGTGCCTGAAGGAGTAGTCAACAGAGCCACAGTCCCCAACTGGAGAAAGAGAGACTCCCACCTGAAGCACAAGCTCCACCTATATGTATTAGAGAAAGAGATGTGTAGACAACAAGGTAAGAACACACTTAACAATACAAAGAGCAATAAGGCACCACTGGAAGCTAGTGGTGCTACAACAGCAAGACCTGAACATCCCAACACACATGAAGTAGAAGAAAATGACCTAAAATAACTTGATGAGGATTATTGAGGCCCTTAAAGAGGAAATTAAAAATTCCCTTAAAGAAATTGAGGAAAAGACAAACAAAAATGGAAGGTATCGACAAATCCCTTAAAGAAAACCAAGAAACAGCAATCAAACAAATGAAGGAAATGATTCAAGACTTGAAATCTGAAATAGAGGCAATAAAGAAAACACAAACTGAGGGAATTCTGGAAATGGAAAATCTGGGTAAATGATCAGGAACCACAAATGCAAGCAAGCACAAACAGCAGACTACATGAGATGGAAGAGAGAATTTCAGGTGTTGAAGATCCAATAGAGGAAATAGATTCATTGGTCAAAGAAAAATTTAAATCCAACAAATCCTTAACACAAAACATACAGGAAATCTGGGACACCATGAAAAGAACAAACATAAAAATAATATCTATAGAAGGAGAAGAACTCCAACTCAAAGGCACAGAAAATACATTCAAAAAATCATAGAAGAAAATGTTCCCAATCTAAAGAAGGATATGCCTATGAAAATACAAGAGGCTTACAGAACACAAAATAGACTGGACAAAAAAAGTTCCCTCACCACATAACAATAAAAACAATAAACATACAGAAGAAAGAAAGAAAGAATATTAAGAGCTGCAAAGGAGAAAGGCCAGGTAACATATAAAGGCAGATCTATCAGAATTATGCCTGACTTCTCAACAGAAACAAAGAAAGTCAGAAGGTCCTGGTCTGATGTTATGCAGATACTAAGTGACCATGGATGCCAGCCCAGACTACTTTACCCAGCAAAGCTTTCAATAACCATAGATGGAGAAAACAACATATTCCATGATAAAAAACAAATTTAAACAATACCTATCCACAAATCCAGCCCTACAGAAAGTACTAGAAGGAAAACATCAACCCAAGAAAATCACCCACATCCACAAGAACAAAGGAAATAGATGAGCTTACAGCAGCAAACCCCAAAGAACGAAACTGAACACACAATACCATCATGAACAACAAAAACAAAAATATCAGGAACTAACAATTACTGGTCATTAATATTCATTAATATAAATGGTCTCGGTTCATCTATAAAAAGACACAGGCTAATAGATTGGATATGAAAACACAATCCATCCTTCTGCTGCATACAAGAAACACACCTCAACCTCACAGAGAGACAATACCTCAGAGTAAGGGGTTGGGAAAATTATTTTCCAATCAGATGGATCTAAGAAACAAGCTGGTGCAGATTGTGTATATTTACACAATGGAGTACTACTCAGCTGTAAGAAACAATGACATCCTAAAATTCACAGACAAGTGGACAGAACTAGAAAAAAAAAACATCTCAAGTGAGGTAACCCAAAACCAGAAAGACAAATATAGTATGTACTCACTCATAAGTGGATACCAGACATAAAGCAAAAGATACACAGCCTACAATCCACAACCCCAGAGAAGCTAGATTCCTCTTCCAGAAACAGATGGAAGCAGATGCAGAAATCCACAACTAACCATGAGACCAAGTTCCTGGAGTACAATCAGAGAGAGGAAGGAGCGATAATATGAACAAAGGAGTCAAGACCATGATGGGTAAACCCACAGAAACAGCTGACCCGAGCTAGTGAGAGATCACTGTCTCTGGTCTGACAAATGGGGAACCTACTAAGACCAAACTAGACTCCCTTAATATAGGTGACAATGGTGCAGCTAGGACAATATATGAGGCCTCTGGCTGTGGGTCCAAGATCTAACTCTAATGCACAAACTGACTTAGTGGAGCCCATTCTATATGGAGAGATACCTTGCTCAGCCTAGACACAGGGCTGTGGGTGGAGAGGTGCCTTGGTCCTGCCTCAACGAGATGATGGGACAGACTTCATGGACTTCCTAGTAGAGGACTTACTCTCTCTGAGGAGCAGCTGGGAGGTGGGGAGCAGTGGAGGAGCGGGAGGAGAGGAGGGAAGGGGACTGGGATTGGAATGTAAAAATAAAAAGAAGGTAGGTCTAAGAATTTAGCCCCCAACCTGGTCTGATTAATCATCTTTTGCCTAGGTAACCAAGGGGGGCCTGTTGTTCATCTCAGGGGTAGTGTTGGGGCCTTCTTGGCGCAGTATTCCACCAGTCAGACTCCACACCTTGTCTCCTGACACCCCAGTTCCTCAGACATTCACCTGAGGGCTGTTCATAGGATAGCTTACAGGCAGGGATGCTCCGGGGGCTTGTTAGGGTCAGAGCCTGGGCTCTGGCACGTCTAACAACCAAGACTTTGGTCACCTATCCTCCACAGGCCTGGTAGACAACAGTGAAGAGCAGGGAAAGCCTGGGTGTGGTGGTACACACCTTTTCTCCCAGCATTCCGTAGGCAGAGTCTGGTGGATGTCCATGAGTTTAAAGGCCAGTCTGGCTTATCTACATAGTGAGTTCTCAGAAAGCCAGACGGAGAGATCCTGTTTCAAAACTAAAATACAAACAAACAAACAAACAAACAAAAACAAGCAAAAGAACACAGAGAAAGAGATTTAGTTCAAGTAGCCACATTGGGAAGAGGAGCTAATAATGGGGTCCAGTGACACCCACTCATATTTACGGACCTGACCTGAAGAGTTGGTTTTAATATGAAGCAAGAAGTATGTCAAACGAAGCAGTCCTGATTAAGGTGTGGTCGTGTCCACCACTGAACCATCAGTCCCTCTGCTCCAGTGTCCCCTGCAAGGTGATCTGACAAGTGACCAGAAGTCTGTGAATCTTACAGGGAGCCAAGTTTTCCTTCCCTAAGTCCAGCACCAGGCTTCATTCTTTTTCCTTTGCCTGCATAAAATTCCTGGAGTGATTCCCATTATTACTGGGGTGCATTGACCCAATCTCCTTGTGTCCAATTGGGAAGGCACAGTGTCTCTTTGGAGGACCCTCACTGTTTCCAGGACAGTTATATTGCCCCCATCTTCCTTTACACTACCGGTTTTTGAGGTAAAAGGTCTGATATCTAAATCAAATAACATAAAGGGAACGCAAGCAGGAACACTGGAGGCCATGCCAGGCAACCATGCACAATGATCATTTCTCTATACTGCCTTGTTTTAGCTGTTCATGAAAGGACTGGCACTAGTGACTCCATTTTTGTTGGTGGTGTGGTGACAGGTTCTAGCCACAGAGCACAGGCTGGCTTCAACAACCTTGCTATTCTCTGCCCCAGCTTCCCCAGCACTGAATGACATCTGTGCCAGTTAGTTTTGTCAACTTGATACAGCCAAGGTCATCTGGGAAAACATCTCCCTCAGGTTGTCCTTTAGGCAAGTCTGTGGTTCATTTTCTTGATTAATGGTTGATATTGTAGGGCCCAGCTCACTGTAGGAGGTGCCACCCCTGAGCATGTGGTCTTTGTTTACATAAGATGTGGCTTGATCTGTTTGGGGGAGGGCTGGCGGTGGGATGAGGACTTATCCTGGGTGTATGAACTGGCTTTTTGGAGCCCATTACCTAGGTCGGGATACCTTGCCCAGCTTTGACTCAGGGTGGAGGGGCTTGGTCCTGCCTCAACTTTGTATTCCTGAGTTTGGTGACTACCCCAAGAAGGCCTTAAACCCTCTGAGGAGTGGATGAGGTTGAGGGATAGGGGGAGGGGGAAAGGGGAGAAGGGAAAGAATGGGGGACTGAGGTTGATATAGAAAATGTAAAAAATTTAAATCAAAATTTAAAATTAAGAATATAGAAATTAAAAAAAGAAAGAAAACAGCTGAGAATGTGGAGAAAGCCAGTAAGCAGTGTTCTATCATGGCTGTTGTTTCAGTTCCTGCCCTGACCTCCCTCAGGATGCATTGTGATGGGGAAATGGAAGTCTAATAAATCCCTTTCTTCCCCAAGATGTTTTTGGTCAGTGTAATAGTGTAATGCTTTTGGTCACAGTAATAGAAACCTAATGAAGATGACAGGCAAAGGTTACTCTGCCCAGAGAGATTCCTTTTTATTCAGTCAACTCTTCCCTCATCTTTTAGTAATATTCCCAGTAGACATCACTGATCTACCATCTTGTTCCATCTTGTCCACCTGTCACCACTGAGGAGATCATTTCATCTGGTCTGAACCTGTGATGGGGAAGAAAGTGTCAGATGTCAAGGAGCCAGGGCCACTAAAACTCTCCAGCCAGGTTTTAGCAGCTCAGAGCTGCAATCCACTGGTAGACATGAGTAGAATATACCACATGGGGAATAGACATGGAGTCACTGAGCCATATAATTTAAAACAAGTAAAAAATAAATTTTTATTAATATTAAAGCATAAATAACAACCCAACAATAAAAAAGAATTAAACAAAATTTTAAGTAATATTAACAATAAAAACAACAATAAAAAGAATGAAGTGAAATGAAAGGCAACGATAACAATGTAAACAACAATAAAAAAATCAACATTAAAAATGTTTTCTCTGAAGAGGGGAAGTGGAGCTGGTTTGAGATGGAATTCAGCAGGTAACTCTATTACCCAACTATATGTCAACTTCAGGCAGAGGGAAAAAGGGCTCTGGGTCACCTAACTGCACAACACCAAGTACAAATATCTGCTCGACAGCTGGAACATCGGGGGCCACATCTAGAGGTTTCTCTGTATCAGCTGATGTGGGCAGAGGCTGGTCTGGAGGCAGAAGCTGCACTGGTTCAACTTCTGGCACATCTGGTTCCCCATCTTCCAGGTCTATGAGTTTAGTGTCATCTTGGGGTTTCATATCTCCCCATGGCCCTGCCACTGAAGCTGCTCTCAGAGGCAGAGTCTCTCCCATCCCTGAGATATCCAGCACTGGGGTTTCTGGAGTTCCTTCCCTCAAGAGGCCACAATCTAGGACAGAAAGAGATGGACAGTTACTGGAGGTACCCTAGACGTTTTCAGGAAAAGGTGAGTTTCCTGGAGGTGTCCTTGCTGGTCACACAAGGTCTGTTTCATGTCAGAGAATCCCCAGTTCCCTGTCCCCACCACAGGACATCTCACCTGACTGGCGTCCAGCTCTAGTTCAAAGCCCGGGCATCTATCTGGAGAATTCCCTGGTACAACCCATCACCAAAACCACCTCCGAGCTTCCCAGACACCTACCCGAGGCCTCCTCATCCTTTTCCAATTCCTGCTCCTCCAGCACTGATAGGAGATCCTCAGTTTGGATAGTGACATCTGAGGAAGGCACATTGAGCCTTATGTAGTCCAACAGCCGCTTCATTGTGGCCACGTCAGGATAATCACAGAAGTCCTGGGGGTGTGTGTGGACCCACATGGACAGAAAGCTGAATATGGCACTGCATGGGAGAGAAGGTTGGCAAGAAGTAGAAGTAGAGTCAGAAGCCTGGCCTTTCTTCACCAGCACAGCAGAGGTCCCTCACATGAGGAAAAGGCTGCCCAGCCCACTTGTTGCTGGGCATAGAGGTCAGGAGTGTGGGTTATAGAGAGAGGGCTCCAGACACTTTCTGTCCCTTGGAGAACAGACTGAGAAAACTGGGCTGGGCTGTGGTGGGGATGGATCTCCCTATGGCCCTTTAGCTTCCTCTATCCCTGTGCTCCTGAGAACCAAGGAGACCATTGGGGAATCTCTGCTTTTCTCCATCTATAGGTGAAGTCTCTGGCACTGTCCCTCTAGTGGAAATCCCTCAACCCTAGCCACCCCAAACATCCCACTGTTCAGAGAGGCTCTTACCTCCCTCCTCACCCAAGCCCACTCACGTATTTGTTTCTTGATCCTCCACACAGTCAGGCCGGAAAGATCCATACCTGTGTCAATCCATGAGCGTGTCACTGCTAAGTCCAAGTGTCCCCAACCCACCAAGAGATCTAGAGGGAGCTATTGGAATCTGGTGTGTGTTAGAAGCCAGGAAGAGGATGGGGGTGCTGAGGGTTCTTTGCACTGTTCTGACTTCCATCCTGAGGTTCTGGAAATGAGCTCACAGCTCTTCAACAATTTTCACGGAATGCGTGGAACCTAAGCTCCGCCCTGCTAGGTTTCTCGGTTGGTACAGGGCTTCTTGGGTAACCACCAGGGACTCGTGTCTGGCTCTATTCATCCCATCAAACCTAGATAGTGTCTTGAACTTTTGGTACAAATGGGGGAAAGGCCCTGCTTGAGGCATAAGAAAGGAGAGTGTCTGACAGTTCTTGGGAGAGTGAATGACACAATCTAGAGTTGCCTCCCCCAACCCATCTCTGGCCATGCCACTTTGAAGGGCCAGTACCCAGGACCAATGATGCCGGGGTACAATCATCCTTGTCCTATGAGAGCATACAGTCCTAGAGAAGAGTAGAGCCTCCCTAAAACCAGAGCAGGAAGCTTGAGAGCCTGAACTTGCATGGAAGCACTCACATTTCCATTATCAGGTCCAGCACCTCCCAGGCGGTGGCAAACTTCGGGTACACAGCCAAAAATACATATATCTCAAGGATGTCCTGGTTCTTAATTGCAGTTGGAATATAAGATATGAAGTTTTCCAGGTAGTCTGGGCTGTTAGGTTTGAACGTGGGGGGCTTATTCAGCTTCCTTTTACTCTGAGGAAAGACCAAGGAAGGAAGGAGAATTTAAAGTAAAAACTCAGAAACATCACCAACCCATTAACACATGCTGAAGTGAAAAGCAGACGTAAAAAATGTTCCTCAGGGTTCTCACAGGAACACACACCCCATCAGAGACTGTGGTGGATCAGGGGGCCCAGAAAGGTTTCCTGCTACAGGTTGGCCTGTATTACCTTGGTTTCCCTGTGGGAAAGTGGCCATAGGTATTGTGTAATTGGGCGCACCCAACGTCTCCAAAGGTAGCCAAGGCCACGCCTCTTGGTTCTTTGGTGGCCTGAGCCTTCAGAAGTCTGGAAACAGCAGAACATCCTGAATGTTCAAACACCTCCAGAGAAGTGAGTCAGTTGAGGCTGCTGCCAGCCTCCAGCTACCTAGTAACCAGGATTCCACATTCCATCTGAAGAATTTTAAGGAAGTGAGGTCACTTCCTGGGGCCCTCTTCCTGAGACTCTTGTACATGCGCTCTCTCTGGGACTGACGAGGGCTGCCAACTGCTCTTCCTCTGCCTTTCCATGTGTACAATGGGACACAATGGCATCTATATGTTTATGCCTCTCACTGACCTGGGGAGCCTGGCTTCAGCCAGACAGACCCTCAGCTTTGAGAAGCTAGAAGAGTTTTCCAAACTATTCCCTCTATACCACAGGCATCCCAGGAAAAAAGAATTTCTCTTAGGGTCTTCCCACTGTCCCAACCTACTCCTTGTAGATCATTCTAGTGTTGATTTCCTAATGTGTCATCATGTGGATAGGATCACAGATACCCTATACCACTTTCACCAGAGGTGAAGGCACAAATAGAGACAGGTGCCCATGTCCTCACACCAACACTCTCACAGGGACACACAGAGGATCCACTTACAAATGCCCTGGAACATGTCAATACAGAAAGCAACATGCTTAGGTGGCCTTAGGGATATTTAGGGTGAGGTTAGTGTTGGGGTAAGAGACAGAAGCAAACTGTATGCGCTTATGTTTAATGGTGCCTTTCACTTAGAGGACCAGGCTGGGCTTCTCTCCTTTTCTATGCAGTCTAGTGTTTATTTCCTTTGGCTTTCCACAGGCAACAGTGGGCCTCTTCTGCATCCCCAGACATTGCATGTGGGTTCTGTTTTACAAAGTGTTCCCCACTGCTCACAGCATTCCTGCCTCTGAGCACACATTAACGTGAAGACTTTGCAAGTTTCTGTATCTTCATTTGTTGATGACTAGTTTAAAATTCATTCATGTTTAAGTCTCAGACTTGTTGAAGGAGAAACACGAAGCTTAAAAATTCAATGCAGAGATGTGGATTGCCTGTGCTGCAACCCAGGGTCATGGTGACAGCAGGGCCTGAGCTGCCAAGGCTTATGTCTGGGTCTGTAACCCTACCAAATCCAGGGTCTGCGTTGATGTCCATTGCTCTTGTTCCAACCAAAGGCCATGGGGATGCCTGAGGTACGCGTTGACACCTGAGGCCGTTTGTTTCTAAGGCCATACTGATCTGAGTGGCCTGTGCTGCAACCTAGGTTCATGGTGGCATCTGGGCCCAAGCTGCTAAGGGCCATGTCTGGTGCTGTGGTCATGCTACAACTGTAGTCTGTGTCGATGTCTGTGGCCTGTTTTACCACAGGGGGCATGAGAATCATGTGTGTTGAAATCCAAGTGTCATGCTGAGAGGACCCTGCCTTTTGCTGGCCTTGGGAGATCTGCCCCTACCCTTCACTGACTGCTGCAGCAGGAGTGCTGGCCCTTACCCTCAAAGAAAGCTGTCCCCACCCTTCAGCGGCACCGAGAGACCTGGCTCTGATGACCCAACCCTGGGAAAGCTGGCTCCATATTCAGGAGATGATGGGGGATATCCTTCTGTATGCTGTGAATGTATGTTTCTCTTATTGGTTGATGAATAAAGCTGTTTATGCCAATGAACAGGCAGGATTTAGCCAGGTGGGAAATCCAAACCGGGATAGAAAAAGGTAGTAGACAGAGTCAAAGAGATGCCATGTAGCTGCTGAGTAAGCAAGAGACTCCAAGATCACGTGGAGATACACAGATGAATAGAAGTGGGTTAATAATTAAGAGAAAGCTAGCCAATAAGAAACCTGAGCCATCGGCAATACAGTTTATAATTAATATAAGCCTCTGTGTGTTTATTTGGGAGTAAATGGCTGTGTGACCGGTTGGGGCAGAAACTTCCATCTACAAGGAGAGCTGGCCCCACACCTCACCACAGGCATGGGACAACTGACCCTGATGGTGTGGAAGTCCTATCGGAGGCCTGGCTTCACCAACTGAGCTACCACCCAGACCCACATCCAGTACCTTGAGTTGGCCCAACCCAACATCTACCCCGCCTATGACCTGCTGGAGTATATGAAGGGACTGGTCCTGTGAACCAGAGCTTCTGGGTCTCCATGACTCAAGGCAACATCATGAGATCCAAGAGGACTTCTGATGAGGGTCCAGCATTAATGGTGTACCTTGAACCAGACCAACATACTCTTACAATTAACATTTGCATGTAAAGCTGTTTGGACAAAAGGGTCTACTGTGTGATACACTACAGATCCCAATGCCACTAAGACAAATGACAAGGTGATGGAGAGGTGGCAAAGACTGAGAAGTGATGTATTGTTTTATTATTCATATTTTTATTTTTAAAATAAAACTTTCTTTTGGGGGAGGGATACTGCAAAGGTGATTGGCAGATATGGAGGGACTGGGAAATGAGTGGGACTGGGGTGCGTGATGTGAAATTCTCAAAGAATTAATAGAAATATTATGTTTAAAAAATCCAATGCAAGCTACACAGTGGTACATGCTTATTATCCCAACACTTGGGAGGCAGAGGCAGGCAGATCTCTAAGTTCGAGGCTGACTTGGTCCACAGAGCCAGTTCCAGGGCAGTCAAGACTGCACACAGAGAGGCCCTGCCTCAAAAACTAACAAAACAAACAAACAAACAAAAGAACAAAAAAGTATATGCAGAAACAGACAAAGAAGGAAGGAAAAAGAAAGGAGTAAGTTCCTGGTTCCAAGATTTATAGAAATATATAAACTCATATTGGTATACATGGCATGAAACTTTCTAGGGAATTGAAGTGACCAGTGGAGTTTGAAGGGACTTCTGGGGATAGAAGTATGTATAGGAGGGGATATGCTCAATGTATTTTCTGACAATATTTTCATGTCACACATTCCATAATTAGGAACAATGATCATTTAGATAATTAAGAAAATATTTTAGTTCTTAAAAACTATCTTATTTTTTTTTTGTGTATGAGTGTATTGTGTCTATGCACTAGATTATACAGTACCCATGAAAGCCAGAAGAGGGTGTTGGATCTCCTGTAACCCAGGTTATGGGTGGTTGTGAGCTGCCATTTCAGTGCCGGGAATTGAACCTGGATCCTCTGCAAGAATAGCCAGTGGTCTTAACCACTGAGAGATTGTCCCAACCTGCAGGACGTCAACTTGGGGCAAGAGAGTCAGGGATAGGGAATGGGGACAAAAGACGCAGAAAGAACGACCACAGGACAGGATTCCTATCAAGTGGCAAATTTTACTTTTCTCAGGCTAGCTTATATAGTCAGGATATGGGGAGGGGCAGAATGGATTGTTTGTGCACCAAGTGTTAGTATAGGCAGGATATTAGGAAGCCACAACGAGGATGTTTGGCAGGGTAAAGAGTTCATGAGTAATAGGTCCAGGAAAGGGTTGCCTAGGTGACTGAGCCTGTGGGTGGAGGACTGGGTCAAGTTGTTTCTTTTCTTGAGCTGAGGTTCTAAGGAGCTGCTATGTAAAGGCTAACTATGTGGCCTGCCAAGCGTGGCCTAGGAGCTCATGCCCAGCCCCCAACAAGCAATCTCTCTAGCCCAGTTTTGTTCTCTTTGTGGTCACAGAGGAGCTCATTGTGGAAACCATGATCAGCATGCAGTGCTACCCAGTAAAAGTTTCCAACTGGGATATTTTATACAACTTGGTGGTGTCATTCATTTCTATTCTATTAATTGAATTCCTGTACAAAGAACATCAAATATTAGCAACCTCAGTTGATGGCCACACTTATTTTGGCTACAGCTGTGTAATTTTGGTGACAGGTTGATGCTGGGATAGGTGGGGCTGTATCCCAAGATGCAGGCAGGCTGCCCAGCAGCTGGGGTCTCAAGGGGCTGAAGCCTTGCTGATTCAGGTCTGCCAAGGGATGCTATGCTGTCTGCCAGCTGGGCCACCTGTGGCCTGGCTTCCCCACAGCACACTGGTGGTGACCCAGCAGAAGGCCTCTCATAGCCTGGCCTTAGATGTCAGTCATGCAGCAGGGCCAATGGATAGCTGGGAGGTGGTGAAAACTCCTTTAATCACAGCACTTGAGAGGCAGGGGCAAGCGAATCAGTTAAGACCAACCTGGTCTACAGAGTGAGTTCCAGGACAGCGAGGACTGTTACACAGAGAAGCCCTGTCTCAGGAAAATAAAAAAGCACAATAGCTTCAATAGAGGGAAACATGGCCCACTTGTTCATAGGGAGTAGAAGATTCTAGAAGGAATACTTATTACCAGTTTTGGAAAACTCCAGCCTGCTTTGGATATACTTCTAGGACCTGAGCTGCTATGTTTGGAGCACATATGCCTGGGCCCTGGCAGCCCTAACACTCAGACTTTGGCCACCCATTCTCCAAAGGCCTGGTAGACAACAGTGAAGAGCAGAGAAAGACTGGGTGTGGTGGTACATGCTTTCTCTCTCTCTCTCTCTCTCTCTCTCTCTCTCTCTCTCTCTCTCTCTCTCTCTCACTCGCTCGCTCGCTCTCTTTCCCTTTTTTATGAAACAGCAGCGGCAGAAGCAGGGGATATCTATGAACATAAGGCCAGCCTGGTCTACAGAGTGAGTTCCAGGATAATTCATGCTCCATAATGGAGAGAACTTGTCTCAAAATCAGGAAAGCAAACAAACAAAAAAAGAGCAGAAAAAGCAGATTTAGTTCAAGTAGCCACACTGGGAAGAGGAGCTAATAATGGGGTCCAGTGACACCCACTCATATTTACGGACCTGACCTGAGAGTTGGTTTTAATATGAAGCAAGAAGTATGTCAAACTAAGCAGTCCTGATTAAGGTGTGGTCGTGTCCACCCGACTGAACCATCAGTCCCTCTGCTCCAGTGTCCCCTGCAAGGTGATCTGACAAGTGACCAGAAGTCTGTGAATCTTACAGGGAGCCAAGTTTTCCTTCCCTAAGTCCAGCACCAGGCTTCATTCTTTTTCCTTTGCCTGCATAAAATTCCTGGAGTGATTCCCATTATTACTGGGGTGCATTGACCCAATCTCCTTGTGTCCA